TCTGCAACCGGGACTGTCACTGTCGTGTCGGTCTCCTTAGTCACAAGAGACGCTACTCTAGACGAGCGATCAACATGAGCTAACAATGGACGGATGCTCATCCATGGTCAAACCTGGCCGAAGGAGGCCTACAACAAGTATCGAGTCATCATCAGGTAAGGGTTGTGTTAAAGACAGTTGAATTCGAAATAACATAACAGTGAGAAAAAGTTTGTAGGTGGCGTTAAATCAGATTTTTTTAGTAAAATGAGGTGGAGAGAATATCAATATAGATAAAGAGGTGTTCGTCAATATTTATTCAGCAATGGCTTTGATGACTTTATCATTAGTACTTCAGTTATTTTTCTTCTCTTGATATTTGGCTCTCTTCGGCTTATTTCAACATTGTTTTCAATGATAACGCATTTTCTTTCTTTGAGATATTCAAAAATATGTGAGGGTCCCTTAAGACGTTCCTTAAGTCCGAAGTTCATTTCACTTTCAATCTCTCTGATATAATGCCCCCATTCCCAGTGGCACAGTGGCATGTCTGCGAACATATACTACTAGAAACCTGTTTTCCATACCCGAGATGGGCACAGAAAAAATAGCCTATTGTGTAGCTTTGTGCTTAACTACAAAAGCACAATTCTCCGATATAAAAGTGTTTATAGGAATTTCATTTTATTCTGTAGATCATTCCGCTGCTTCTATTTTCATTGGGGTAATTTTAGTGATAAAATTGAATAAGTTAATTAAGCTCCAAGTACTTAAGAAACACGCAAAGGCATTATGAGAAATTGTGAAAGTAGGTGAGTTAACTTTTAAATACTCAAGTTGCACATATAAGCTAAACAAATACTGAACGAAAGTGTCAGGCAGAGCTACATATTTTAGTTTATAGAACACTGCTAATTAATCGTGAACATATGTAATGTTAGGTAGAACTACGTATTTAGTTCATAGAACAATGCTAATTGATCGTGAAAATATGTAGTGTTAGGTAGAACTACGTATTTAGTTCATAGAACAATGCTAATTGATCGGGAACATATGTAGTGTTAGGTAGAACTACGTAATTAGTTCATAGAACAATGCTAATTGATCGTGAACATATGTAGTGTTAGGTAGAACTACGTATTTAGTTCATAGAACAATGCTAATTGATCGGGAACATATGTAGTGTTAGGTAGAACTACGTATTTAGTTCATAGAACAATGCTAATTGATCGGGAACATATGTAGTGTTAGGTAGAACTACGTAATTAGTTCATAGAACAATGCTAATTGATCGGGAACATATATCGGAATCTTCTTTTAATAAAAATATATATATAATATGAGATTAAACTATTAATTAGTTTTTGATCATTTTCTTCGTCGTAAAACTCCATAGTTTGCTGAATATGAAAATAAAGAAAGTTCGGAGGAAAATTTTATTCCTGATTAATTAGGTTGTCAAGTTTTTTCTAGATAGATAATATAATTTCTAAGTGTCCTTGAATTCAGTTTCCACTGATTCGGGTACCAACGGTGCTGAATATTTAATTGAAACTTACTTCATACACTGCATAGTATAGTTACTTTTTAGTTCAAAAAGGAGGGGATTGATAAAATATTGTTTATATATTAAATAAGGAAATACATTTTATTGTAATTTCGCAACATTGTCGGTTGGCATGGCCTGGTGGTTAAGATGCTCAGCTCGCAATATGCGGGCCACAGGTTCGAATCTTGTCATCGAACATTTTCGTTCTTTCAGCCGTGGGGACGTTACAACTTGAGGGTCAAGACCACTTTTTGTTTGTAAAAGAGTCGTCCAAAACTTGACAGTGAATGGTGTTGACTAGCTGTCTTTCCACTAGTCTCTGCCACTTCCATATTAGGGGCGGCTAACGTCGATAGCCCACGCAAAATTCAACAAACCAAACATAGTATTGTCCCAATGAAAAACACATTTTGATGAATGGTTGGAAAAGTCTATACCGTACTTTTATTATAAATCTGATATTTCGTCACTCTATATTGTCCTATATTGGAATATATTTTGCCTTTTATTTTCACTCTTAGATCAACACCGTATCCGGGTGTGTCAGCGCAGGAAGTGATGCAGCAGATACGAGCAGGATATTGCTAAGATAAGCCAAGTCACTACAAACGAAAAATGTACATCACCGTGTATTATTTTTGGAACAAGGACCCATAACAACGGTTTACATTTGTGAAGCTGATTCATATACTTGATATTTTACTTTTGTTATGAGCAGGAATACACTGAATTAGATTACAGATATCCTTATAACATCACCAGTATTTTTGGTGAACTGTGAAACGTTTCGTGTTCGTTGTTCATATTTGCTCATAGTTTTTGTTAATGTTACATTATTCGAGTTAATAGACAGTTGCGAAGTGCCAGTAAGGTTGCAACTTACAAAACACGCGCATATACCAAAATGACTCATTAAAAATATATTAGGCCTAATACTAATGTCTTACGACAAATGTAATTCTAAAGATATAAATAGAAGTATTTACTTGGAATACAAAATATCCACTACAGTCCCTGAATTTTCCTGAGAGAATAAAACAGAAAAGTTCAAGATTTAAAGTGTTTTGTTATATATAAAATATATATATAGATAGATAGATATAGTCGATTCCTAATTATTCGCTGTCCTATGCTTATCAAGTAATTAGTGAGCAAAGGTACCTTTAGCTAAACGTTTAGGTATTTTTATTACACTAGATTTTTGTATACAAGCATTTCTTAAGTTATAGAACAGTTTTATTTCAAAACTACCCGCTTACTCAGCTGTCTGCTTAAATACGCCATGATTTTTTTTTCAAGCCGTAGAACAGTTACAGTTTGAATAATTACAGATTTACATTTGTGAAAGGCATTATTTTAGGCCTAATACATCTTTAAACAATACAGTTTTTGAAAATCCCTAAGACATTAGATTGTGAATGTCTTGTTTAAAAAATGTATTAGGCCTAATACTAATGTTTTACGACAAATCTAATTGTAGAGATATAAAAAGAAGGCTTCATTTGAAATACATATAAAACACTACAATCCCCAAAATTTCCTAAGAGAATAAAAGAAAAGAGTTCTAGATTGGTAGTGCGTTGTTATATGTAAACGTTATATAGATATGAGCGATTCGTAATTATTGGCTGTTTTATGCATATCAACTTATTAGTGAGCAAACGTAATTTTAGCCTAGCGTTTAGGTATTCTTATTATTCTAGATTTTTGTGTACAAGTAACACTTAAGTCATAGAACAGTTTGTTTTCAAAATTGCCTGCTTAGATACACCATGAAGTGTTTTTTTTTCATTTTTAAGTTTCATTTTCAAGCCATAGAACAGTTACTGTTTGAATAAATACAGAAATATATATGTAGATTTACATTTGTGAACGGCATTATTTTAGGCCTAATACATCTTTAAATAATAGTTTTTGAAAATCCCTAAGAGATTATATTTAGAATGTCTTGTTTAGAAATATATTAAGCCTAAAACTAATGTCTTACGACAAATATAATTGTAAAGATATACAGAGGGGAATTTACTTGGAATACAAATAAAACACTACAGTCCTCGTAGTTTCCTGAGATAATAGAAGAGAAGAGTTCAAAATTGGTAGTGCGTTGTTATATGTAAACTTTATATAGATATGAGCGATTCGTAATTACTGGCTGTCCTATGCATGTCAACTTATTAGTGAGCAAACGTACCTTTAGCCTAACATTTATTTATTTCTATTACACTAGATTTTTGTGTAGAAGCAAGGCTTAAGTTAGAGAACAGTTTTTTTTTTCAAAATTGCCTACTTAGATACGCCATGAGGTGTTTTCCTATTTTCATTTTCAAGCCATAGAACAGTTAGAGCTTGAATAATTATAGATATTTATGTAGATATATGTTTGTGGTAAGATACTTGTTTTAGATCTAATACATTTTTAAATAATATAGTTCTTGGAAATCCCTAAGAGATTAGATTATGAATGTCGTGTTTGGAAATGTATTAGGCCAATTATAATGTCCTGCGAAAAATGTAATTATAAAGATATGTATAGAAGAATTTACTTGGAATACAAATAAAACACTACAGTCCCCGAAATTTCCTGAGATAATAAAACAAAAAAGTTCAAGATTTGTAGTGTTTTGTTTTATGTAATTCTATATATATAAAAGAGGAAGTTTATTTGTTTATTTTTGTTCGCTATAGGAAACCAAACGGTTACACTTACAAATTTTAAAATAACTTCATAATAACGAATTTTTACAAGAAATTCAATGGTGCTATTTATTTTGTATTTGGTATAGTATTTAATGACGAAATTTACAATTGATGATTATTGCGTCATTTTTTGTTTTGTAATAAACATACAAACATAAGCACGTTTTGCATATAGAAAGCGTTATGGCGGGATACATTCAGATCACCTTATATGTAAGTATTATATATATAGTTCATTTCTGATTATTCGCTGTCCTGTGCATGTCAAATATTTAGTGATTAAAGTACTTTTAGCCAAACGTTTGGATATTTACACCGGATTTTTGTAGGCTTAAGTCAAAGAACATTTTCTTTTCAAAACTGTCCGATTACTCAGCTGCATGCTTAGATACGCCTTGAAGTGTTGCTTTTTCCTATTTTGTATTTTCATTTTCAAACCTTAGAACAGCCACAATTTGAATAATTACAGATATATATGTAGATTTACATTTGTGATAATACATTAGTTTTAGTCCTAATACATTTTTAGACAATACAGTTCTTGAAAATCCCAAAGAGATTAGAGTAAAAATGCTGTGTTTAAAGAAGCATTCATTGTTTCTTTGTATGAAATTCCTAGTTAAGTGACAAAAATGTATAAAATGGTTGTAAAATATACTAAGATTTGACATCTTGCCAAATTCTTTAGTGTCCTGCTTTAAAAGTTATCACATGAAAGATATATAACAATATTTGTAATATCCTTTCCATAATGCTTTTCTGAAAATTCTGTAATTTTTATTAGGTCAGTTTGACAAAAACTGTTTGTTATAGGGATATAAACAATAAAATTTGCTTTGTTACAAGTTGCCCCCCCAGTGGCACAGCGGTATGTCTGCGGACTTACAACGCTAGAAACCGGGTTTCGATACCCGTGGTGGGCAGAGCACAGCTAGCCCATTAAGTAGCTTTGTGCATTAATTCAAACAATTGTTATAAGCTAATTTATTTATTTTATAGATACGATGCTCTATAAAACGGAATGCGGAAGCAAGCCGAAGAGAAAAATCGTAAAATCAGGCTTTTCGGCACACTATGTTTATTACAGTAACGTAGCGGTAACACACACGAGAAAAACAATAGACTATGATATATATGAAATTTTATTCGGAAAGTGAAGAACTATGTAATACTTGTACTATAGGTCAACGTTTTGGGACTGAAGCAAACATTTGTTCGTCCTTGTTAAGGAGGTGAACTACAATTTTAAATAACGTTTGTCAAATGGGTGAAAAAATAAAATAAAACTACCAGTTAGAGAACTAAAGTGCTGGACAAAACGGAGACATTGAATATAAAACACCCATTCATGAAAAGAGCAAGCAACATTGTGTTTTTACGCAAAGTATCCGCTTGTACGATAATGAAAATTGAGCAACTTAGTCGATTGCAATATGAAGTAACAATAATATATGTAATAGTAATAAAACCCTTCTAACAAATCATATAAACATATACTTGACTAATCTAATGTTTTTCACTTTGATTTTTATAGAAGTGTATTACAAATGTTTTATAATTATATATTTTCTCAGTTTATTAAAGTAACAAGGCAGTGTTTTTGTAATTGAAACTTGACAAAATTTTAGCACAAAGCCACCAATTAAATTGACAATTTATCTGTTACTTTAAAGTGGAACGTGCAAATCAATATCTTTATTAAACTCCGCCTAGCTGATTTAAATGCATTCTCTTATTCTACTGTTTAACAAGATATTGATTTATAATGCAAATCTAGATTCGTTTTAATTCTTAATTCTAACACTTACTTTTGATATGAGACTTATGATCATAAAAATCACATCATACATCACACTCAAGTATAGCAAGAATTATGTATTAGATTGTCATGACTAACAAAAGTAATGTAAAACTACTTCTTCATTTAAAGTTTCCATAAGTAGTTGTAACGTTGACTCCCTATTGTCCATGAAATTAAAGTATTACAAGCATTGTTTATTAGATAGTCATTACTGATATTCAGACTTTGTTAAAAGTAACGTAATTGTTTCTTTCATATATGAACATATCAAAAACTCTTTAGACTTTAGGCTTAAGGACTTCCATGTAAAGTCAAGAATTTCTAAAAGCACCCTGTACAGTACTTAACATTTTACAACTATTTAACTAAAGAACCAACATGAAATAACAGCAACTTTTAGAGTAAGCAAGTTTTTGCTTTGATAATTACAACGTGAACAATTACTTCCTAAAGGTCAACAACCCCATAATACAGCCGTTCAATGTACCTGAACGTCCTCTTAGCTGTTGCTTTACCCTTTATGGGTCCTTCATGTTTCAATGAAAACAAACAAACACGTTTTCAACATTTTAAAAACGTCATATGCATAAATATCGCTGAAGGTGATATTTAAATCTCAAGTACGCGTAAAGGATTTTTTCAATCGTATGGCGTTTGACGTAAACTGGTCTGTATTGTTTTCACTATACATCACCTAGCGGCATGAATTTAAAAAAATATATCTTAAACCAAACGAAGGAAATCAGTCCATCATTTAACAACATTGCAACAACGTGTGTGACGGGACAGTTACTGACACAGACTTCAGTATTCTCTGCTCAGCAGAGAATGAAATCATTCTTTGGATAAAGGGGTCTTTATTGATCAGAGAGTTGAAACCAATGCCTGAAGAACGTTGGGTATTTTAGAAATTCAATGTTGTTGCACACAAAAATGTAATTATTTGTTATGGTATTAGTTTTCATTGCTACCATGCAGTCTTTGTTCATTTTGAATATTTTTATCATTGTCTCACATTTCTACACCTGACCTAAATATCATTGAACAAGAAATTCTAGAAACTTCGAATGATGACGCGATATTTCCAATTGTTGAGGATGTGACGCAGTCTACCAAAGATCAAAATTTGAGAGTCATTAAATTGTATGATTTTTAAAATAAATGTGTGAATATTTGAATCAAGTGCTGGTGAACAAGTTAAATGTTACTAACTTAAACTTGTACCATTACATCAACTTTTACAGACTCCGTCATTTTGATGATTTTTGTCATAACTTCACATTTACACACCCGAATCTGTCATGACTGAGAATAAATCAAAGTGAGGATGAATATTAAAAAGGTAAAGTCTAGAAACAATTGCATTTGTTTGTTTTTATTCCTTTTATGGCACTCCCTCAGTAAAAGATTAATTTGCCTTAATACCACCATTGCTAAATAACTCAATTTAAAATTGCTTTGTTGCAATCAGTAGAACAGAGTAAAAATTTATTATGTACTTTGCAAAAGTAATAATATCATTTAGGCAATAAGAGATCATTCTAACAAATCGT